CTTACGAGAACATGTCACAAAACAAGAAACTTCGTAGATCTGTCGAGATGACGTCGACGAGGCCTTGCTAAAGTATAAAGTAGTTCAAGGTCCAAAGAAGTGCGAATATTACGATTAGTGGGTCAATCCTGAAACTGAGGCTAGTGTGACATGACCGATGAGCACTAGAGTTGTAACGATATATAGCATCTATTTTGAAATCAGGAAAAGGGAATGTCAGTACAGGCAACCTCGGTTATAACGAACCACGGTCATAACGACGATTTTTTCCTGGTCCTTTCGATGACGTTATAACTGAGTTCTACTGTAATTGCTTCGATTATTTCTTGCGTACCTAACTTCAGATCACTTTATAATCTGCCTTGTGCAAAACTATCTTTGGAAAAGCCGACGCAGCCAAAAGCTGTGTCCTGAGTGTATGCGCCACAAAATTTGAATTTTTTGTGAACTCAACATCACCTCAGTTATGCATGTGCCAAGTTTCACCTATCCGTCTCTGGCCAATTCGGTAGGACAAAAAAAAATTATTTCAAAACATCTCCCCCCAAAATTTGTGCCTCCAGGGCATTTACCTCCAAAGTCTGAATTTTTCTGAACTCAGCATCCCAATAGGTAATTATGTACAAAGTTTCAGGTTTCTAGCGCATCTAGAACATGGTTAGAATCAGCGTCACTCAGTCAGTCACGATCATCTATATATATTATCAATAGATACTGAATGAAAATTTTTTTAAAGCAATGTTTGGAAGAGTAACCCGTTTTGCCCACAGGGGTATTTTAAAACAATTTTTAGAATTATCGGGGGGAAAAGCCGTCGCTGATTTTGCAATGGAGTTGAATCCTTGTTGTAGGTACTTAAAGGTACCTCATACCAATCCGGAATGCGCTACGTCAGCTCTTATGTATTGCATTTTGGCAACTATCTTAAACTGCCCTATACCCCACCGTCTCCCATTCATGAGTGCCACAGGCCCATGCGCTCGTCCCTGGGGTAGACCTAGGCTAACAAAATCCGTTACTCTTCCTTGAAGGAAAAAATAATACATATTTTAGTGGTATTGCTTAAGCATCCATCCGTGGGTCAGGCCTAGGCTAACAAAATCAGTCCCCCAAAAGTGTCCCCAGGGCTTGTACTTCCAAAGTAGGAATTTTTATGGAGTCAGTAATCTAACAGCTATTCGTGTACCAAGTTTCAGCCTCTCATCATTTGTAGAACACGGTTAGAATTAGTCAGTCACTCACTCAGTCAGTCAGTCGCTTACGATCGTCTATATACATTGTGTATACTAAATACTTTCACTCCATCGTGTAGGCTATTGTTTCCCCCCAGTCCTCCAAATTCCCAAGAGCCCTTCGCGGTCATCAACGACTGCCGAGTGGAACAGGAACCCCTAGCCGAGAGGAAACATATCCTAGTACTTCTAATACTTCACTGCTCTACCATTCCCTCTTCCTATCTCCTCACTCTAAAAGTGAGAGGGTCACCACATGCTTGGTGTAGTGCAATGGCTCACGGATACGTACCTTGGGCATGGTAACGAGGAGCTGTCCGGTGACTTGCGACCTTTGAACGGTGGTCTTGTCTGGAGACACCTCCTCGGGAAGGACGAGCTGAAGGATCTTGCCCTTGATCTTCACGTAAATGTGGCCAGGATGCACGTCCACTTTCAACTCCTGCGTCTCCAGGAACCTCAATCAAGCAATCAAATGAGTCCAATCATTCATCTAAATTGCATCTAAACCATCTCGTAAGAGAACCCTAGAAACCTTCGACTCTTCTAAATTATCCTCCTCAAACATTTTACATTCGATGATACATATAGAATATTTTTTAAAAAGTACCCCTCTTGCACCTCTACGATTTCAGGGGATTTTTTTTTCAAAGCCTGACAGCACCAATCGACACGGCAGAAACGGGCAATTCATTTAGTACGAGGGGTGTCCAATAAATTTCCGCAAACTATTTTTAAAATTGACAATAATAGTTGGATCATCATGAAAGTAACCATGAATAATGTCATGACACCTGTTGATCTGCTGAAGAAACTGCACTCAAAACAGCATTCATCTGCATGTGAGGCCTATTACTGTGTCAGAATGTGGAGCAAAATGAACTCGTTTTTCAACGAATCAATATTATTGTCAAATTAAAAAATATATTGCGGAAATTTATCGGACACCCCTCGTACATCACACTTGAGCAACCAACTCAATCGTTAAAGAGCAATCTTGGGAACGAATCTCTTATGTATTAACGGAAACGGTACGATCATCAAAGGCTCCTAACGACATCGAATAACGAAGAGGACGTTTTGCACGATGGGGCGGTGTTAGTATGAGGATAAGATTCACATCTTCTAGTCGATACTGCACTAGTGTAACTCGTGCTACCTCCGTCGTATGTGCGACAGCCTTCCTCCTCTATGTTTGACACCTATTGGATCCATGTTAATAAGTGGAGGAAGTAATTGAGAGGCAAGATCACAGTGGAAGAGAAGAAATGAGAGTTGGGATCCTGAATACCAAAAGGGTTCGTGCTGTGGACCGTGCGAACAAATCGGTCATTTCCCAAGTCCAAATTTCTTTTCATATCATAGCTCAGAACGAGTCTGAGTACGCTTTGAAAATGCCGCAAACTCGATCGTCACGACCGCTGAGATGATTGACGTCAGAAGCAGAAGTCGCAAGTTGTTTTTGCGTTCTCAGTGCCCAGTTCGACTTGCCTTGTTCCTCGAGTTCCTCGATTGCCGAGTTCCTCGTCGATTCGCATCCGGACAGCTTTACATTTATGCCGTCGAAGAGCGTTTTGAGCTGCTTATTGTTCCACATTCTCGCGAGAGATGGATGCCTTCTCTGAGGCTTCTGGGCGCAAAACTCCTCGCCACAGTAGTCATGACACAGGAAATCGCACTCACTTCCTTCCTCGCCTTCGCGAGGTTCACAACTCACTCCAATGCCATCTGCATTCGAAGATGCTTGCTCACTTCGGCAGGTATTACGATTTCGTCCTGAGCATGGAGACTCAAGGAGTTAAGGGTCCCGCAAGGTCATCGAATCGAGATGATCGAATTCAGAGCCTGTTTTTCGAACGTGATCGAGTTGGGATAATTCGATCGCGAAAAGGATAATGAGACCGGGTAATTACGTCTCATCAGATGTGCAGCGGACAAGTTCATCAGCCGTGTAAGATGTTAGTCCAGGGATGCTCGATTTTCGCCCTTTCTTAAGACCTGTTCTCCGAGACATATACGTGCTGCGCAAGTTGGAATCCTGTCCAGTAGAGTAGGGGTCCCCGAAATGCGATCCGCGAGGTATTTCGGGTCAATAAAAAAAATACCATCATGGTGATGAAAGAAAAGACAGTGGCGTAAGAAAAGAGGGTGAGTGCTCAATGAATTTTCCTTTTTTTTCGTTCTGTGCGCACGGTCGAAACATGAGAGATATTGCTGCTCGTGATGCGTATGATCACGTATGATCCCGGTTAATGGGCCTAGAATCTGCGGAAAAACCAATGGACTCAACCTAAACAAATTGGAGTTAATAGCCCTCTAATTGCACGTAGAATATTCATGAGTAGGCAGAGAGGCTGTTTTAGCATCCGTGTCTGTTGACAGTCGCGGGACTCGGAACGGCAACTCTTGCCAGCTGGTTATATTAAATTACCCATTTGCCAAGCTCATTCCCATGACATATAACAGAGCCGTGAAATGTGCCTCACTAAGATGGTGCATGGTTTTGTTCTCGATCGTCCGTCCCAAGAAAGCTCTTACTTGATCCCAAGCTCAAGGGGAAAAACCTGAATAATTTCCTCCCTAATGAGAAGAATGTACTCTTGTCTTCCGATAGGTCGTGGGTTCCTTCCGTTCGAACTAATTCTCCGTCTTCTGCGAGAGTCGGAATAAAATTAGAGATTGCCTTCGGATCGATGGTTCTCCTCGAACTGCTTGCTTCGCTCCGTTTCTCCGAAAATCAGATTGAGAAAACGTCTTGCACTCGAGCGAACGCTTCGGGAAACGTCCTCTACTCGAACGCCGAGTTTACCGAAAAACAGGGTTACATCTTGCACCATGGGACGGACTCACGATGCTTTCCATCGTCCTAAAGATCGGACCCGTAGTCCAAATACCACTCTGGAGAGAAGATTCCACTTTCAGAGGTGCGAAATATTCTCGAAAATCGCTTCTTACAGGTTTTTAACGAGTCGGGCGCCTAACGGGATTAGATTGATACGCAAAAAATTGCACCATTCCGTTGGATTCATTCAAATGATCTTTCATTTAAAGCTGTTATGGCTGGAGTCCACATGTTCCAGTGGAACTTCGAGAATGGATCTTCGAGAAATTTTCTCGAGAAAAGACTCTTAGGTAAAATATTGTAGAATCGGCAACGTGGGACTTCCAAGAAAGCATTCTTGGTACATGCTCGGTGACTTGGATCCTTCGGCAGAGCATTTTCTAGGAGAATTCATGAACCCATCAAAAAATCGATGCGATGTAGATGACGGTTTATTTACTATTCAGATCTGGATTCGTCAGTTCTTTTACATCCGAGTCAGGTGCGAGGGACATGGATCATCGAGAGGCCTGAGCGGAAAAATTCCATCTTCAACCTAATTGAATCGTTTAAGCCATTTTCGCTTTGACAGGGATCGGAATGATTTCTCTTTCAGAGTTCACGTGTCAGGATTCTTTTTTTTTCTCTCTATCGATTTGTGAGGAGCGGAGTCATTCATTCATCGCCCTTGTCCTCTTCATATTTCAGACGATCCAGTTCCAGGCATCTCCTACACTTTCTGTTCCGTTCATTTGAACGCAACATGTCGAAACTGAACACAGATTGTAATAAGAAACCAATCTCTGTGAATGGATCTTCGCATAGTGATACTGCTCGAAGCCAAATCGACACGAACCTTCTTAACTTGAGGAAATTAAATTGAGGAAGGGTGCCAATGCGAAACTTTAGGCTCTTCGTCGAAAACTGGGCTATACCGGAGAAAGCAATTTCACTTCATGTCCTGATTTCGAAATTATGGAACTGCCATGGCATATGCCATTTGCGATGAATCGACTTTTTCTGCTTCCTATTGGTGTTATTGATTAATTATGGCTATGGAGAAATTCCACAGAATAGACATGACATGCCTGAAAACTTTTTAGTTTCGTACTTGAGCATTTTATTATATTAAAATTTTTCGTACTTTCACGGTTCTATGTATCTCCTATGACGATTGGGTGCTGCTTCTTCTCATCTATTGCTGAGATCTGCAATCTGCAAGTTCAAATTTGTTCCTTGATGTTTTCATGGGATGAATATTATAGTTTTGCTCTATCCCTTCCTGACATCTGAAACTGCCCGAGAAGAAAGATGACGTGGAAAAAAGTGGGTTTTTTTTCAGACTTGTAGACGGGGACTCGAAGGATGAATCGGTCCTTGGAGATATCGTCCTCCAGGTGAAAGGGGATCCTGGCCTCATTCACATTCAGCACCCTTCCGTCTTCACCCCTCAACCTTCGACTTCCTCTCCGATCTTCCTTTTTTTCTTCTTCGTCTTCTCCCTTCAGCTTTCGCCTTCCTTTCTCCTCTTCTTCCTCTCTCTTCCTCAAACTTCGCATGTAATTCCGGGAATCTAGTCGATTCTCGGGGCCCCAGGAATGCCTCGATGGGAACAGACAGAACCCATTTCCTCACGTCACAATTCTCTTCCCTGGCATTTTCCCCTTTTGATAAGTGCCATATTTTTTTATAACGTTGCGTGTTGCGTGTTTTTTTTTTAAATTTAAACTACAGTCGACGCTCGATATAACGAACCTCTATATAACGAATTTTCCTTATAACGAATATTTTAGCCGGTCCCTTCGAGTTCGTTATATAGAGCGTCGATTGTGTTTGGACTTTAACGAATAAAACTATATAAACCTTATTGCTACTATTGAGCGTTTGCATAATGCGTTGCGTTGTCGTTTTCCAAAATATTTTTTTCTCTGTTACCTCTTACAAGTTCATCTTGTGAAACCATCTGATATGTGAGAAAGAGCCATGAAGCAGAAGCCACGTGGTGGGACTCACCTGCTAGTATCCATTCCGTCCTCCTCCTTCTTCCCTGAAAATGGAATGGACTCGATGATTTTGCGCTTCGGCTGCTTCATTAATTGCTTCCTGACTAAGGTTGAACTCACGAAAGTATTCGCGTTCTTGCCTGAGAACCTCATCTTGAATTATTTTGAATTTGCTCCCTGCAAGCATTCTTTCCGTCCGAGTGATCTCGATCCCGTCCAAGAATTTCAGCTGAGGTAAAATCACCAGCACGTATTCCCGGTATCCTTGGTACTCCGAGCATGGATTCCCCGTCAAAAACCTGAGCAGTTTGTGAATTTCTCTGAAATTTTTCTTGATAATTCTGAGTTGTACAGATCCCTGCTAGAATAAAAAGACCACCCTTGGAAAAGAGTTTTTCTTCATTGATACATAGCTGGATATAGCGTACAAAGTATGGCAAAGTCGACAGATCTGGTGGAGTGACCATGTGCATCGTGTAGAGCTTTGGCACGAGTAGGCATGGATTCTATGAAATAATCAATGACAACCCGATCTAGATTTTGCCACAGATTGCTAAGTGTTGACTGGTTACTGAATATTGGTGGGCAATGGCCGTGTTGCATGCAGCTGCCGGTCTAGGTGCTCCCATGAGTGTTCGATGGGATTCCTGTCAGACCTTTGAGGCGTCCATGGCAGAAGTTGTAGGTCCTGCTTCTTCGTCCAGGAAGTAGTCGCTTTCGAAGCGTGGCAGGTGGCACCATCTTGAAGGATACGAGTCAGGTAGTGCGTCTGTCTGGTGGACGCCCTGACAATATCAAGAGGTTTTTTTTTCATGAGAGCGATGTACCCAGCTGAAATAAGGCGTCTATCGATGAATACCAAGTCTGTATTGCGATGGTACCAAATCGCTTCCCACACCAGCACACTTGCACCGCCGTGCTTCACTGTTGACTGTAAACATTCGGGTTTAAGTGCATCTCCAGATTTCCCCCAGACACACGTTCGGACACCAAATGAGAATTGCTGGAATCGAGACTAGCCAGAGAATAGGACACATCTCCAATACATAAGTAGTTTGTCCTTCACCTATTGAACCCATACCTTTCGATGCCGCACATTCACCTCACTCAGCACGGTTTCCTCCTGTCAACGCGCCCACGGTAGCCAAGCCTATGCAGAATCCGTTGAGTGGTTCGTCGACTAGGTTTACAACATCTGCAACGCTACACTCTTAGAAGAAAGTGAGCGATATCCGAGAAAGGGAGCGAAACTGGAGTTAGCGGTTTTACTCCCAAAAACGAGGAAGTGCAATCGATAACTACTCCTTTATAAGAGCAAAATCCGTATATTTTTTAAGAGCGCGAAACGAATGAGGGAGGGTACTTTTCAAACTAGTGGAAAAAGTTAGTGGTCGTTCTCAGGAAAGAGAGAGGTGAGCGGTTGCACTTCCTTGTTTTTAGGGAGTAAAACCGCAAGCTCCACACAGCAAAGTAGAAAAGTACAAGGAGAGGTACAAATGCGAGAGGTACATATTGTGTCCCTCGGGTCCTCTTGTGTGGTCCAGACGTACACATGTGTACGTTGCAGACGCAGATGTCCGGAGTCTCAATGCAATACTCAAAATCGGCATAAGATGGCGATTATGTTCCCCCAAACTTTCGAAGTCGAGTCGGGACGCACCGGACCTTAGGAGAAGAGTTTTCTTCCTATCCCTGTATTCATCTTATCATGATACTTGCAAAGCAGTATTTGGTAAAAGAATAGTTATCATGTTTCAAAGCCAATCAATGGTTCTGGAAAATTGTAAACGCTGGGGTTTTGTACGGGAACAGAGAAGTATGAACCAACAGGTTACGAGTTTTTTTCTCTCTGAAGAATAGGCGGCCAACTTTAAATAAACTTGAAAGATTGTCCCTGTAAAACAGGGTGGTCTGGTCCTGATGGTACTGGCCCCATGATAATTGGAAAAGACATGAGACAGTCGTTCATGAGACAGTCGGCACGTCCAGTGCGAAAAGGAGACGCTGTCCGCGTGTTATCAGTGACAGCTCGCTGCCTGTCAGAGACGGGGTGCCGGATGATGGTGCCATTAAAGCTCTCTTCAAAGCTGATAATTGAGGCTCATAAGCAGGTTTTTAAACGCCCCTAAGCCCGAAATGAATAGAGATAAGAAAAGTACACATTTGTACCTTTATAGCCACGGGTACCTTTTCAACGAACGTATTTTACGACATGCGTTTGTACCTCATAACGTACAACATATGTACCTCACTGTACGTTTCTGCTTTGCTGTGCAGTTTCGCTCCCTTTCTCGGAAATTGCTCACTCTTTTCTAAGAGTGTACCAAGGCTCTGACGTGGATCGTTGCGAGCCTGGCGTGCAGCCAGGCTCGCAACGATCTACCAATCGCTCTATCCTTGGGGTTGTCGACGACAGGCGCCCAGGTCGTTGTTCAGCGGTGGTCTTATTTGAATGATGAAATCGCACTATTCTTGTTATGCACATAGTTCTCGGTTTGCCCAGGAACGTGGGCAATCTGCCTTTCATTCTGACCACACTCGGAAAGTCCAATAACACGCCATAGTATAAATTAATTGGCATCCCTTGCACCAGCTGACCTTAGCATGTTTGAATGCATAGGACGCCTCAGCTATGGAATGCGACCACTTTGGCCTTTGGCCTAAGTGGTACGGTCATATGAACCTTTGGTCACAAGGAATAGTGGGTGGGAAGAACAAATCTGTTATTTATATGGGTAGTCATTTTATTATGGCAGGGATCTATGTCGGTGATAAAGAAGTTATTCCTTGGTTCTATTTCTAGCTGAAACCTCCCTAGAACTTCAGAAAGATACCCAACCCCTCACTCCAGAAGCGCATTCGTCTTTGGGTGGTTTCGGCCAGAAACAGCACCATACAATAACTTCTTTATGTTCTATTTGCGCACCTTGGATGGGAGCAGTTTACTCCCCAGACTGTTGATTGCTTATTCAGCCAATATATACTATTATATATGTGTATGTATGTGTATATACTGTACAGTGCCCCAGAAATGACCGAACATAGGATTTTTTAAAGTACCTGTACTTCTGATATATAGCCCGAGGCGGTAGCACGTGTTTGTCGCCTCGGATTTAAGTGCGAAAGTTTTTATATTTAAGATTCAGGTTCACTGCAGTGTCCGAAAATTCGTGAATGGCTGGCTGTTAGACGTTTCGGAGCAGGTCCAAGTACGATGCATCCGGCGAGGTTTCCTTGAATGAAGTGCGGCCCCAGAAAGTCATTCCCAGCGAAACTGGAGTTAGCGGTTTTACTCCCTAAAAACGAGGAAGTACAATCGATAACTACTCATTTATATGAGCAGAATCCATAACTTTTTTTAAGATCGCGAAATGAATGAGGGAGAGTACTTTTCAAACTAGTAGAAAAAGTTCGTGGATATTTTCAGGAAAGAGAGAGGTGAGCGGCATTACTTCCTTGTTTTTATAGAGTAAAATCGCTAACTCCAGTTTCGCTCCCTTTCCCGGAAATCGCTCACTCTTTTCTAAGAGTGCATGGTCGTGCCATCGCCGGCTATGATTTCTCATCTCGGTGGTTGATATACCTGTATAAGGCATGCTTCTCGGTCAAGCGAGCGTTGAACGCCAAAAAACTCTAACCAAATGGGAGGATAATACTTGAAAAGGAAGCGATAGCGAACTGAGCCTTTGTGCCCTGAAAGCACTGCAGGATCACCATGAGGGGCACGGTGTGACTGGTGCTTTCGTCGCAAGCCCGTTTCGTCATTGCACTATTTCGTCGCAGACGCAGATTGTCGCACATACACGGCGAGACACTAGCTTCCAGACGAGGGTAAAAGCAATGAGAAAAGTTCATCGTCTTCTCATTTTCCTTTCTGAGGAAGAATCTCTGAGGAATGAAACTGGACATATTCCATGCCTATCGATACAGAAACCGCCTCAAACAAATTGTAAGATTTATTATATGAAGGAGAGGAAAAATCACAGATCTCATTCCGGGCTCATGAGAGAGGCATCCAAATAATTATTTTTCTCGAACGGACAACCTAAACGAGGGACTTTTTGGAAGCTATAATAAGAAGAAAAATCCGAGTCCCCACTGCAAAGAAAAATTGACCTTGGAGTTGTTAGCGATCTACGGTTCCGTACTGGTGAGGGACATTAGATCACGAGAAGATCCAACCTATCGTCTAGCTCTCATGGTCACGTTGCCGGTTTTCATATTTCGAGGATGTTGGAGGTTCTGCTTTTATGTCGGTTCCTGACTCTCATTCAGGAGTCAAGATGAGCATATTTTCGATATGCTTTTGCAAAAAGGTGCGATGAAAGCAGTCACAGCTGTCGAGTGTGAAGAAATTAAAATCCTCTTTCTACGGTAGACGGATCCATCACTGTAAATCAGTGACATCATCATGGCGTCCCACGTGTCCATGCGGATAAGCCTAATGTTACATGTCTTCATCCGTGTGGTTATAGAAATGCGATATTTTCTCATAATAGGCGTTGTTGGTGCACGAGTGACAGGGCTGAATATGCCTATACATTGCATCAAATGTGGCAAGACAGTGCACGCGGCGTGTGCCCTCGTGACCTCCTCTCCAACCGTACGAGTGCTCTTCCCCAGACAACTTTCACGCAGACCTACTATCGCTGTCTACCTGTTTTCCTGGTTTTTCCTTTCTCACGCACAGTCTGTGTTCTTTCTCCATCTTCCACACTCCTTAATGTGAAATCGAACGATACTCATCCTCCTTCAGCCGCTGTCGTTCCCCTCCGTGATCGAATGACTGACCGCTACATTAAATGACTTCCACGAGTCTCAACGTTAAACGAAACGCCCAACAGACCCGAACTTCATGACTCTGATTGAAATCCTCAAGCTAGAACGTTCATGAAATTGTGATAAAGTTCCCAAATGGAGTGGTTTGGCCGGAAAGGGTTAAGAAGTAACTGACCCCTAATGAAAGAAAAAACCAAGTAAAGGTAGGAAAGAAAGCACAGAAGATAGCAAAACGGCAGATGAATGCATGTGAAGTAAGAGGGACGAAAATGACACGAGTGGTTGCTCACGAGGCCACTTGCACATGGCTCTGCTCTGCCCTAGGTTGTATGGAGTGGATACGGTCACATACGGTCACAAACATAGGCCAGGATTTTAGGATAGGTTCTAGTAGAGATAGCGCATTTATACTAGGCCAGGAACCTAAGCAGCACCCAATATTTATCAGAGGAAAGGAAAAGGATGGGTGACGAAAGTTTTGCCAGACTTTTCTGCCAAAATAAAAAAGTGCGTTTCATTGAATGGGTAAACTTCCTTTTCTAAAACCAGAAAGCAAAGCCTTTTTTAAGTTTGACTCGCAAGAGATTATTTCTTAAGACAAAGCTGTAAGAAAATCTGCAAGTTTGAAGATAGCAGCTAAGTTGAAAAATTTTCACTCAATTATGTATTTAGGTGTTTGATATGAATGCTGGCATGTTACAGATTCCAAAAGAAACATCTCTTATTTTATCATAAATGCTAGTGACAGTGGTAGAATGAGCTATCTCAAGATTTAGATGTAAGTAGTGAGCTTCTTTGAAGGGAGATGTTGTTTCTTCCACCTGCATGCAATCTAGTTATATGTTGCTGATATCTTCCTCAATAAATTTATTGTAGAGCGACTGTTATTGTTTTTATGTATATACACAGAGCATATGTATGTCTGTAAGGTATTATATACTCGAATTATGTATCCAAAAGAGAGACTAAAGATAGAATTTAGAATTACTCAATTATTGCTTTTAAGATTAAAACCCGAATTCAAACTTTTGATGATCTCTCCGAGCGCTCTAAATTGCTAATGCTTTTAATTTCCGCATCGGAATCCCCTTTGCTCTGAAATCCATGTTCAACTACCGGTAGACTGCCCGATATTTTTCTTCAAAGGGAAAAACCCGAGTCTCTTACAGCTCCCGAAGATGGATGTTATTGGAGAGGTTGTGAACGCCGGTGACCTCCGCGATGAAGTTGAGGGTGAGGTCAAGTTTTCGCAGGTTCTCGCATCCCTCCAAGTTTTCGATTCGCTGGACGTTGTTCATGGCCAGATTCAGGTATTCCAGACGTTTCAGTTGCTTTACGTTCTCTGCATGTATAAATGCAACGTGGAAGGTGGAAATGATCAGCGTCGTTCATGAACAAGCAGAAACGGCAAAACCATCAAATACACGAAGAAAATTGATGAAGTGAGTGCTACTTGATTGTGAAGAAAATACACAGTGAATTAAAAGAAAAGTAGCTCAACGAATAAATAGTAGAAATGTGATACGTCACAGAGTAGAAGCATATTTCTTAAAAATAAGTGAAAAAATTAGAAAAGATAAGCTCAGTGATTGGGATAAATGTGGCATTTACAAAATGCGCTCTCGCAGATGTAGCTTTCCTCAAATTATTTACTTCTGTTTCGTCTTGATGCAACAAAAGAATACCCTTTATAATTACAGGAATGACACCATGCATGAAGTCAGGAAAGAGGCTGTATGAGAAAGGGATTTCATTTTAACAAGTTCACTGTGGGAACAAAGACACCGTAGACATACACCATGCTGTGTGAGTCACCGGTGACTCACGCCCCAGTGAACGAGTTAAAACGTAAGAGTCTTCTTGTAACCAAAGTGAATATCGCTACTGCTTATTCTTAAAAGGACGTTGTTCGATTTAATTTTTTTCATCGTAAGATTGAGCGAAGGACGTTTTTTGCCCGGTCATGTATTGAAGTGCGTACATCAGTCTAGCAAGAAACACTCAACAAAATCTTTTCTTTTTGTATAGCAATGAGAGATGATGAGGAAGTAAACTGGAAAATATGGGTTGAAACTATTTTCTCGGGTCGGACAGAGAAGTTCGGTTACCCTTTGGGTTTCGGGTCATGCGCGAGCCAAGACTTCGGGTTGGGTCTGAAAAATCGGCTCGTGCAGGGCTTTAATATGCAATACTGTTTCAATAAACTCCACTTGCTCTACACCTTCGTGTGTGTACGTACTCTTTTCAGCGAGGACTGCCTTTCCTCTTTGACCCTTTCGCACATCGCACACACAAAGGTTTTTTTTTCCCCCAATGTGGGTGTTTCTGTCATCCCTCGATACAGTCAGACTCAGCTTACAGTGATCATAATGCTTCTGCTTATCTGGGATGATTTGAGGCGAAAAAAGAACGTTGAACACAGATATGACATTAACGTAAATGAAGTCAAGTAGCTGATAGAACCTTTCTCCCTCCAACCTCGGGGCCAAAGTCGCCTGGTGTATCCCCGAGCTGGGTTACAATTTGAGACAAATGTATTGAGGGATCCCATTGTCTTACATGAAGATCTGCGAGAGAAACTATCGGAAATCGTACGAAAGGTACGAGAAGTTCGTTTCAGTGGGATCGGGAAGTGACGCACTACAACGACGATTTTTAAGCGTCATCTAGCTCCTGGTTTGGGAACCTTCTTTATTAAGATAGCAGTCATCCATCAATTTAGTCTCAAGCTCAGTGGATTCAGAGAAGGGCAAAATGAAACAGACTCGTTTCCTCTTCCATCGTCTCTCATCGTTCTCCCCTGCAAAAGGTATTCTCAACGTCCAACATCAGGTCGGAATTACCTAAGACTGAAAATTTCCCCTGAACAGTGATACAGATTGTGCAGGTGCTACTGCTCCGAGTGGCATCTGACAGGCTCCTCTCTGAGCCCTCATCTCATTCTAATTGAGCACCTTTTATGCATTTAATGCATACGAGGAGGATCAGCTTATTCGTTGCATTGCATTCGTTGCAATAATTTCTTTAAAATTATCACGTAGTTAGCTGAGCTCACCGTGTAATATGAGGAGTGGGTGGCGGAGAAGGGCTAAGGGAAAATTGTCTCACCGATGCGAGGGATGAGATTAGCGTGGAGGTAGAGGATTCGGAGGTTTCTGCACCATTTGTTTAGGTTCTCCAACCGCTCGATGTCCTGCTGATGAAGGGAGAGTTCCTCCAACGTCCCGATCTCCCCATCGTTATGCTCTGCTCTCCGCCGCACCAAATCCAGCGTTACTATGGTGGGGGAAAGGGGGGGGGGGGGGAAGAAACGGAACTCTATTCAAAGAGGAACAAGGCACTGGGTATCATACCCGATTAAGTTTCATGGATATAAAATTTCAGACGCATAGACTCCCCTCGCAATATGATAACGTCAGTCCCATGGAAAAAAAAACATAAGAATCGTAGTAGACAGGAGGAAATTACCCTCCTTTAAGCTCTTCATGATAACATGGGATTATCCTGAATCGGTGGATGCATACATTTTCAAAATCTTTTATTCCGACTTATTGGGGTCGCAGGTCCAGGAGCATCTTCCAGTGTTCGCGATCTTGGGCAAGGGACTCGGGGTCGATAGATTGTATACACACCATCTCGTGGCAGAAGTTTCTCGTAGTTCGTCCATTTTGCTTGAGGCCTACCGACTGGTCGTTTGCTCGTCATTTTAGAATGGAAGACTCTCCTTGAGAGTCTCTCGGGAGGCATGCAGAAGGCGTATTGGAAACAACTGACTTGGGACCCTACGATGGAATGCGTAGCTGCTTGACCTAGAGATTCTCAAGGACGGCGGCACTCCGAATCCTCCCAAGACGCGATGCACCAGCCACCCACTTTAAGAACCTCATTTCGGCAGCTTGTGTCCCCGGCCTGATTATTTCAGTCATTACCCACAATTCGTGACCATAAGTGAGGGTGGGGAGGAAATCGCTCTAAAAAAAATCGAAAGGTTTGCCTTGAAAATGTCATATTTGGCAATCACAGTCCTCCAGAGTTCCCGCAAAACGGTACGAGATGCGGCATTCGATCTCATTTCCATATCGTCCGTCACTCGAGAGCCAGACCCGATGCTCTTAAACTTCACCACCCGTTCCAGTGGGGCTCTCCTAACATGGAAGACAGGACAGGACTTCTCGAGCTTCTCATAACCTGGGTTTGGGGACGCACGATTTCATTCCGGCTCCGGTACATTCTGAGTCGAGCCGGTAGAGCACGCTTTGAAGATCCTGTCGAGATCAGGCAGAAAGGACGGCTTCGTCGGCAGAGAGAAGCATCTTTACCTCGATACCGCCAACATTGACACCCTCTTGACCCAGGCTATGTCAACAGATCCTATCCATGTACACGAGGAACAGGAAAAGAGCGAAAACGTAACCCAGACGGAAACAAGGCGAACTCGAGGCGTTGCGGATATTTCCATCACCGAGGAGACGATCATGAGTATGATAGGGAAGTTACGCGGTGGGCAAGGCGACCGGCCCCGATGGGATTCCTAAGAGAGTCATCAAGGAACTCGCGGGAGAAATATCGGTTCCGCTAAGAATCATATTTGAAAGCAGCTTTTCGTGCGGTGAAGTATCTAAGGACTGCAGGCTTGCGAACGTCGTATCGATCTTTAAGAAGGGCGAATAGAGTAATACGGGTAATAATAGGCCGGTATGTCTCACGAGTATCCTGAGGAAGATCATGGAGAGCATCCTAAGGGACCACCTCTTGAATTTCCTCGAAGGAAACGCGCTCTTTCGGGACTCTCAACACGGCTTTTAGGAGTCGTCAAAATTGTCTCACCAATTTGCTGGAATTCTACGATTGGACAACGAAAGAGAGGGATAAGGGGAATCCTGTGGACAGGACCGCTTCTGCTTTTGGTCTACATAAACGATTTGGATCTCGGCGTAGAGGGTATGATGAGTAAATTTGCCGACGATACCAAGATAAGTTTTTCCGTAAGGGGGGAGGCGGACAGGGCTAGAGCCGAGCGAGATTTAAGTCTTTGGGATGAGTGGAGCAAGAAATGACTCATGAGGTTTAATAAAAGTAAGTGTAAAGTCCTCCACGTCGGTCGAAATAACGGTAGGTCTCTCGACGCGTTCGGTGAGGATAAACTAGGGAGGCAAACGGAGAGAGAGATTTAGGAGTTTCTATCGACGATGACTTCAAGTTTTCCTCACACGCACAAGCGACGGTGGCCAAATGCAACAGGATTTAGGTTTAATTTGTCGTTCGGTTGCAAGTAGGACTTCGCGCGTTATTCTTCCGTTGTATGCGGCACTGATAAGACCCCAGTTGGAATATTGCATCCAGTTTTAGAGGCCTACAAATAAGGATGAATTGTTGGCGCTCAAGGGGGTACAGAGGAAGGCCACAAGAATGATAAAGGAGGTTAGGGGAGTTCCGTACGAGAAGCGTTTAGAAGTGTGTTAGGACTGCACTCCCTCGAGAGAAGATTAAGGAGATGCGATCTCATCCAGGCTTTCAAGATAATTAAAGGAATAGATAATTTAGAACGTGGTACGTTTTTCCAGTTCGATGGCGGCAAGAGAACGAGAGGTAATCAACTAAAGTTGCGTAAATCGCAGATGCGGCTCAGGTCGAGACAGGAATTCTTTACTTGCAAATTGGTGAACGCGTTAGATGACGAAGTGGCTGCCCTTTCTGTGACTATTTTTTTTAGAAGAAACTGAATGCTTTTATGGACAGGCAAAAAGGTGGGGGGCAATGTTGAAGTTAGGGATTAGGCAGTAAGCAACTAGGATAAAATATATATTTTTTTAAATCCCAAAAAAATAAAACAAATATTTAGCTTTAAGAGGATTAGGCCTACCCTAAAATTAAGGAACGCTCGATCTCGACACGTGATATCGAAATGAATGCAATCGTCTCTTGATATCACTAACTACCTTGGTACCATGAACTCATTCCGTTCACTCGAACGCACCTCCTACGATCACCATATGAGGAATGAATGGTTCGCAATAGCCGACTGGCACCAGCACTATTGAGGTCCTGATTATCTTGTGTGACGACCGATTCAGTACTTGGGTCACCCTGAAAATTTTAATACTTTCCTCAAAGAAATGAGGGGAAAATTGTTCAAGCCTATCATTGATCTAACGGTCTTCTTTTAGGCTGCTTGTGTAAATTTCGCCCCGTTTCGTTGACAATTAGCGAAATGAAAGCACTTGGAGTGGAGCAGGAATGAAGATCTTGTGAGAAGCGATTCTTCTCAAGACAGACCCGACGCACCATCACCTTCATGCTGTCATTTTCTGCATCATTTTCTAGGAGATTTCATAGATGATGCTTCGATGAGAAGACTAAGACTTTCAGTAAAAAGTCCCTTCGTGTTCAAATGGTACCGACTCTTTCAGAGCGGATGGTTAAAATTCTAGCCGCTGTTTGGATGCCCTCTGACAGCAACGACTCAATCAAATATGGAATGGCTCCAGCAACTGTTTAAAAAAAAGTTCCTCATCGAAGAAGAACCCCATAGAATATCCTCATCGGAGAGTGCCCAATGTGAATGGTTGGTCGAGTCACTGCTGTCAAAGGGCGTCAAGATCGGGCACTCTTAAAATTCCTTGTGGAATTTTGCAGTTTGGCATCTCGGTTCCCGGTATAAGTCATGAGAAACTAAATACGATAACTTTCAGGACCAGAGTAAAAAGAATAAATACTTATTTCTCCGCTTTATACAGGCCCCATCCCTTTCTGAAAAAAGTAAGTTTTCCATTTTCCTACATTACCTAATAAGTCCATTTTGTAATACTGACTTTCCAACATATACAGGGATTTCCTGTAACTCTCGTCCGCCGAAATTTTCACCACACTTTGAACCAGATTCCATTGTAAAATCACGGGCAATGTCTGTTACTGTCTTTGACTGTAAAATTCAGTTTAAAATTTTCAATGTCATCCTGGAAAAGAGATTCACCCAAAATTTCCGTGAATTTTTACAGGCTTTAGCTGAAATGTTCAGAAAATTTTTAAAGCGGGGCTTATCGTAAAAAACACCTTTCCCTCAACCGAGGAGTAGGATACCGGCTAAATACCATAGCTCATGAATCTTCATCTTCAAAATAAATCTGGGCATCTCATCCAGGCAATCGTTAGGTGAGGAGGCTCTCTTAGATGATACAAAGGTGATGAAACGGTTGAGCCGAGAAGAAAATCTTTTCTCACAAGATGTCACTACCTGCTTCCACTCGCAGCACTTGTGTCACCGGTTACGTCGAAAGAAACGGACGAAAGCTAAGCTACTACATAAGCTACTAAAAAGAAGTACATTAAACAAATGAGTAGGCTTTAACTCATTTATCTTCATTTTTAGATTAAAAAACTATAAACTTTCGGAATGACCCACTTATGGGACTGCTGAGCGTGGCATGCAAGTTCTGGTTAGTCTTCGTCATTCTCAACGGAAGCCCCTGTATCACGGTTGGACCTGGGGTCTGTTCCTCGCTTCTGCTAAACTTAATCTGAAGCTAAATCTAAATCTTTCGCTTTTAGGATGCTTTTAGAGAAGATTGTTTGGATTTAGATTTAGATTTAGACTAATATTTAGCAGAGGCGAGGAACAGGCCCCTGGGATACCGCGGCCTACCGAATCACTGGGGCTCCTGATACGATGCATAGCCAAATAAGAGAAAAGATGTTGAATCCTTGATTTGGCTCCCGAATCAGTTCGTTGTCAAAACAGTGTTCAAAAGTTTTACTTTCTGAGAACAGCCTATAGAGATGAGCGAGTGTAGAAGTACATTAGACACCGAATGGAAGTCAAGACTCACTATAAACCATGGCATTTCGTACTTCGAACACGGATCCAAGTTTCTTACGAGCGCGTGGTTTGGTTTGATCGATGTGGGCCTTGAAGCGTCATCGAGTGGATGCGATCTCTCCTACCGATCGGAGAACCTACCGATATCATCCCCAGCAGACAGATGGCGCTACTCCTCACGACTACTTCACCACCTGTCCGTGAAGGGAATGATCTCTGGAACACGCACGCAACCGTCATCTATGGCCTCCAGCTACGTTTACCGTCTACGTCTTATTCACGAATGCCACTTCCGATACACTGAACAGAGAGTGCGTTTGGCACGCGATACGTAAGGTTCGATAGGAGGTTCGAGTACTTTTCTAATCGCGTTTTGTGGCGACGTCAGGGGCGTCGTTTGCTAAACCAAGAGCGCATGCCTTTTAGCCAACGGCCTGGCAACAGCCACTGAGAAGACATTGGAGATGGCACGATCATAGGAAAAACGTAAGGATTTGTGCTGCAATTAGAAGTCATACTGGTTGTTATCATCGCGGCTATTCACCATTGCCTCCTATGAAATTTGAAGGGAAGAAAGGATGCTTTCATCTGATAAACGAAGATTCGGCTAAACGATTGCCTGTGTCACGTGGGAGGCTTTCAAAGCGCTGTTGAGAAAGGTAACGTGGATTCTTGTGCCGCTAATGTTAGCGGGCAGACGTTGCGCGAGTGAAGGTTTGCGTAGGTTCAGCGCCAAGCCCCACATGAACAAGAGTTCGCGTGGTAGGGAAAGGAAAACCAAGGGTTACTATCTGTACAAGGTTTAATCACTTTATAGCAAAACATCCTCCGAGTGGCAGTCACCAGGATGTGGAAGAGGTGGTTGGTGCACGGAGTTCTGATGCGTCCGAGAAGTGAAGGGAGGCATCGGAGATGCACCGTCGAGAAGTGGAGAATTGGCAGGCGAGAGTTGCACTGCCGAGAAGTGGAGAATATCCCCGATAATGAGCCGTAATGCTCCCGTGGTACTCCAATAATGCCCAGGGAACGCCGACGAATACCCACGAATGTCCTCGAATGTGGAGAAACCTCCACTATTTAAGAGCAAGGCTGGCCGGAGACCAAGGTGAGGGATCTGGGTACATGCCCTATGGCGAGGACGAAAAGGGTGAAAGGGATGAAAGGGGTCGCAAACAGGGAACAAAAAAAACCCTTCGAGTACATGACATCTGCTCCAACGATGAGAATATCTAACGCATGCAAGACGAGCGCGGCCGGTGGAAGGCGGACTGCAGCCGAATGAACTAGGTCCGAAAACCAACGCAAAAGAGCGAAAAGATAACGAAGTGAAGAGGAGACGATCGATCCGGCGAGGTGGCGTCAACAAGGGAAGGGAGCGTGAGGGAGGGGGATACACGTGCCAACCCGATCGGAAATCCAGCCTGTTTTTTCTCCCCTAACGGCGTGTGATGCGACGAGGTCGGATCCACCGCATCCAAAATGATCCCGGCAGAGTCCTTTGAGTCGAGCTTCGTCCTGCAACGGGCTACGATCTGCAACCGATCGGCGAGGCGAGCCTCGCGACCTTCGTGCGACGCGAAGCATCGAGAATCCACGACGAATCGACTCGAAAATATATTTCCTGGAAATTTATCAAACTTGGGGTTTGCAGACGGATAGGCGATCCGGTCTGCACAGCAATATCGATGCAACGTTGTAAGAGCATCGAAGTTTCAACATCCATCACGTTCGGTCAACGTCGAAGAACATCGATTGCCATATCGAATCGACATTGTTTCAATGTTGAAATGAAACAGGTTTCAACTAATTTTTGACTTCCTGCGCGTGCACCATTTAATTGCTGGAGTACTCTGCGGATGATGTATCAGCGTCATCTCAACCCTTCCGATGCCAAAATGTTACTTGTCCCTCTCCCATCTCGACTTAGATTCTGCCTAAATTAGAGAAAGGGATGCTGGGCTCCTGGAAACATTAAGGCAATAGTGTTTGTAGCCGACGAATAAGATGGCTGGTAATCACTCCTTGAAACCTTCCGCGCATACTATAAAAAGTTATGCGGATCTTTCTTCTCAAGTTAGAGGAAGGAGGGTCTCATGGGGTCACATCGACTCATGGACTTTCTTCTCTCCATTCCCAGGCTCAGAATTATCCTGGGTCCCGATGGGTAGGGTTGCCTCTATGGTCGAATGTATCGAGGGACTCAAATAACTCCCCGTGTCGTTTCTAGAGAAAATATCAAGTATCGTTCCAGAATTACTGGGGACGCGTGCCGATTGCACACATGAGATGACTCACTGTGTTGGCGGTCTGTCGCCATCTCACTTCGGGGTCAGGGAATTCTGTTCGTTCAAACGCCTCGCCAGATGTCTCGTCCGACATCTGTTGAAGTAACGTTGACAGGACAACGTCCTCACGATATTGATATTTTCATCATCGCGTCAACGTTGACAATGCATTGGATCATCGGCATCGACATCCCCTCAACATCCTAAACGTTTTTTCAACGTTGAATCAATATTGTCGTGCAGACTGGGGAGGTTGTAGCTCTGGAGTGTCTTTTCTCGTCGAGTGCAGATCAACATCGTCGTGTGTACCTGATCGATGTTGCCAAACCATCGGGAAGCCCGCGATCTAATTATTATTATTATGATTATAGTCTCCTCGGATCGTTGGGTTCAAATAGCTCGAGCCATTAGCGACAAATTTCGACTCTTCCCAATTTCTGACTGTCAGGAGACGAGGGATTCATCTAGCACGCCGCTTGGTCCGCTTCAAATCCCCACAGACGGTGGTCGCTTCCGTAACCGATGCCGAGCTCAAGAGATGAAAACCTCAAAGTGACCCCAGGATCCTGATGGTGATCCTGAATGATGGCATCAGCACGAACAATTGTTGCTATCACTCCGTCATGAACATGGACCAAATCCTGATGGATCTCCTTTGCTCGGCGTCCAAGCTATCATCAGGGGAAGGTAAAAAAGCGAAATCCTTCCTTTGTGAAGTCCATCGGGAAATTGACCAGTGGAAAATACATCTTCGCATCCCCATGAGCATGAGCACATCCATGGGGGAATCTATGGACATCCCAAAAGGACCTTCGTGATTCCATGAATCCTGAGGACATCTCTGGGATGTCCCATTTACTTCCCTTGTGGGGTCATCCCTCTGGGATGTCCCGTGGATGCATTCCGCATCGATTCTTCAACAAGTAGCACCTTCACTCGATCGCCTCTTGTGAGAAGCTGAACTATCTCTCCAAGGAATAGAATCCCATGGAGCAATCGTCCATCACACATCAAGTGATGCACGCAGCGAGGAGCAAGAATGTCTTTCCTCGCTCGGCTAGGCCTGGTGTTCGCTCCACAGGTTTTTCCCTCTTTTCGTCGTCTCCTCGACCTCGAAAAACGATCGTTTTTCATCGAATCCTTAGCACGCCGATCTGCCGTTTGCCATCGGCAAACGAAGTCCTGCTTTTTGCTTC